ATGGCGCCTGGCGCCGCCGCGCGGACCTGGGGACTAGAAGGACGGCGCAAGGGTCGGCTAGGTCACCGCCCGACCTCTGCCCGGCGCGCGCTCACTCACCGGTTAGAACCGCGGGGAACGGCGCCGCGGTGGGTGCTGACCGGAAGCGGAAGCACCCGGTCTGTTTGGGTCACGTGGGAAAAGTGCAGACGGGTGCCGCCGAAAGTCATGGCGCCGCCGCGCGGACCTGGGGACTAGAAGGACGGCGCAAGGGTCGGCTAGGTCACCGCCCGACCTCTGCCCGGCGCGCGCTCACTCACCGGTTAGAACCGCGGGGAACGGCGCCGCGGTGGGTGCTGACCGGAAGCGGAAGCACCCGGTCTGTTTGGGTCACGTGGGAAAAGTGCAGACGGGTGCCGCCGAAAGTCAAAAAGTTTCTGTCAGCCGGCGGCGCGGAGTTACGCGCACAGCAGACCTGAGACGTCCGCGAGGGAGCCAGAGAATTCCAACGGGGTGGTGGGGTGGTTGCGATCTGCTCCAGAGTTTAGCGTGGGCACGCCCTCCTCAGGTTATGGGGCATGGGTGGAAAGAGGGCTCAGATGCCATAGGGCCACTTTCCCGGGGCGAACGCATTCCTCACGTAGTGCAGACGCGTGCTGATTTAATAAGCAAATAAAGGAGCGGGCAGGGACGGCGGACGTGAAAAGAATTAGTGTGACGTCCCTGCACCATCTCCTCACGACGACGTAGTCACTACGTATCCAGGCCTGTACCCATCAAAATAAAAGTCGAGAACCAGAAGTAAACAGGGTAACTTGCAAAAATAAAACAGGATGAGAAAGAAGGGCCGAGGATGCAGCTCGGTGGTTCCACCGCCTGCCTCACAAGTGCGATGGACCCGAGTTCGATCCCCTATACCAAAAATAAATAAATAAATAAAAATTTTCAAAAATAAGAAAGAGCGGGACCCAGACAGGCGCTGCCCTTGGACCCGAACCCTCTTGGGGGCGTGGCCTCCTCCCACAGCCACAGAACCCTGTAATCCCGTTTGATTGAAGCTCCTCCCCGACACTCCAGGAATCCAAAAAGTTAGCTTCCTCCTGGCCCTGCTTTTGTTTTTTGTTTTGTTTTGTTTTTCTTGGGAGGGAGTTGTTTCGAGACAAGTCCTTGTAGTGTAGCCCAGGCTGGCTTGGAACCTGCAGTCTTTCTGTTTCAGCCTCCCTAGAAGTTGGGATTATAAAGCGCTGTCTATAATATTGAAATAACCAGTAGTATCTATTTAGGTCTGTGCCAGGCGTAATGGTAAATGCTACTATTTATTGTACAGTTTCATCCCCTACCAACTGAAGACAACCTGCGCATATTTCAGGGCAGGAGTTAGAATGGGCTTTTTCAAGACTCCCGGATTTGCCCCCCCCCACTATTAGGGATTGAACCCGGGGCCTTTCACTGAGCTCCATCCCCAGCCCTTTATATTTTTAAATTTTGTGGCCGGGCGTGGTGGCTCACGCCTGTAATCCCAGCACTCGGGAGGCTGAGGCAGGAGGATCGCTATGAGTTCGAGACTAGCCTAGACTATATAGTGAGACCCTGTCTCGATAAATTAATTAATTAATTAATTAATTAATTTTGAGACACAGTCTCCCTAAATCATTAAATTGCCCAGGTTGGGTTGAAACTTACAATCCTCTTGTTTCAGCCCCCGCAAAGTGCTGGAATTTTTTTCTCTTAGTACCAGGGGTTGAACTTAGGACCTTTCATTTTCGAGGCAGCCACACCACCACTGAGCAAAATCTCCAGTCCCCAGAGTGCTTGATGTACAGGAGTGTGTCACCACACCCAACTAGTGCTCACTAATTTTTGTTTTTGTTTTTTTGAGACAGGTTCTCACTATGTAGTTGAGACTGACCTGAAACTCACTAGGTAGCTAAGGCTGGTCTCAAACTCACAGTGATCCTCCTGCCTCAGTTTCCCGAGTGCTGGGATTACAGGTATGCGTCACCATGCCCAGCTTGTGCTCACTAATTTTAAATGTTTATTAGGAGGTAGAGCTAGCAGTGGTGACACGTCTGTAACTCTATCACTCAAGAGGCTGAGACAGGATTGCTGCGATTTTGAGTCCACCTTGGGCTACATAGTTCAAGGCCAGCCTGAACTACATATCCTGTCACAAAACAAAACAAAACAAAACAGGGCTGGGGAATTAGCTCAGTGGTGCCACCTCGTGCCTCGAAAGCACAAGATCCTGAGTTAGTTTGATCCCTGGCACCAATAAATAAATAAATAACCTCCGCAAAAACAGAACTAGGCGAGACTCAGTGACAGAGCACTTTGCTTAGCCTATGAGATCCCTTGTGTTCCATCCCCAGTGCCAGGGCAAAAAGGGAAGCAATTAGTGCTAATTATATATGTACTAGAGATTTATATATTTTGTTTGTTTTGTTTTGTTTTTTTGGTATCAGGGATTGAACTCAGGACCTTGTGCTTTCCAAGCAGGTGGTGGAACCACTGAGATAAATCCCAGCCCTTTTGTTGTTTTTTGAGGCAGGGTCTCACTAGGTGATTCAAACTGTCCTGGAATTCACTGCATACCCAAGACTGGCCTCAAATTTGAGACAATCTTCCTGCTTTAGCCTCCTGGATGCAGAACAGGAGTGGACTACCATGCTGGGCTGGTAGTTGTCACTGAAACCACTGAAAGCCGAACATCTCTCACTAGGAAACAGTGGTACCAGCCAGACCTAGTGGTACACTCTTATAATCCCAGCATGCTGGGAACCTGGAGCAGGAATTTGAAAGTTTGAGCCTAGGGTTGGGGATTTAGCTCAGTGGTTCCGCCTCCTGCCTCACAAGTATGAGGACCTGAGTTCGATCCCCGATACAAAAAAAAGAAAAAAATTTTGAGCCTAGTTTGGACACTTTAGGGACTTAGCAAGACTCAGTGATACCATCTCCCCATCTTTGTGGAATGACTGTGTAAAGATTAAGCGAAGTGTGTCATATTAGTGAAAGAGGAGGCCCTCATTATCATTATTCATGAATAAATAAAAGCTAAGGAATACAAGCATTAAATAACAGACACAAGCTAATCACCCAGTGTGATGCCCATGAACTCCAGTTGACAAAAGTATTCCAGGAATACTGTGATGAACTGAATTCCACAGTTCTGCCTCATTCCCCTCAGGACTACGAAAGGATTCGAACCACATGTCCCAGTGAGGAGCAAACGTTAAAGCTCTTCACACGTAGCATCCTCTGCGTGCACCTACACAGCCTTGAGCGTGAGTGGGGAGCTAGGATTTACCCCTGCACGTTCTGGCCCATTCGGAACAGCGAGTGCGAAAAGAAAACGTGCATTTCTGGACCATCTGCCCTGGTGTGGGGTGCAGTGACAGGGCCTGAAACCTTGGCACTCAGGAGACTGGGGAGGAGGATTACCAGTGAGCTTGGGCTACATACTGAGACAATATCAAACACAAAATCAGGGGCCGGGGATTTAGATCAGTGGTTCTGCCGCCTACTTCATAAGTATAATGTCCGAGTTTGATCCCTGGTACCAAAAAAAAAAAAAAAAAAAATCAAGCCCAGTGGTAGCATCTGTAACCTTAGCATTTGGGATGCTGAGGCAGTAGGATCACTGATAATTCAAGGCCAGCCCGAGCCACATAGCAAGCCCCATGAGCGCCATCTAAAAAAAAAAAAAAAGCAAAGTAAAACAAAACAACTGTCTAAGAACAATTACCTCTTTTACTCAGGGATCAATCTAGGGCCAAGCACTCTACCACTAAGGTACATCCTCACTCAGGAGGCTGAGGCAGGAGAAGCATGAACTGCAGAGTGAGTCCCAGCCCAGCCTGGAATGCAGAGCATATCTCAAAAAAACCATTAAAAAGCCAGGGGTTGTTGTGCACCCCTGTAATCCCAGCACTCAGGAGGCTGAGGCAGGAGGATCACTGTGAGTTCCAGAGCAGCCTGGGCTACATAGTGAGTTCTAGCTCAGTCTCAACTACATAGTGAGACCCTGTCTCAAAACAGACACACACACAAAAAAAATTAGATCATCAAGAAAAAACATTAGGTAAATGATGAAACTAACAAAGCTAATGTGTTGAAATCTTTTCATTTAGTACTGTAAAACCAGTGCTTAATTATACATTGTGTTCTCTTGTGCCCAGGTTGGTAACCCCAGTTTGCTTTTCTGTTTAGTCCCCTGGTCACAGCTGTTGAGTAATTTTAGTTGGAGGTTGGAGAAGAAAGTGCTCTTCAGTATTTTTGTTTCTTTCTTTGTTTGTTTTTATTTTCCAGTACTGGGTATCAGACTCAGGACCTTGCACTTGTGAGGCAGGTATGGCACCACTGGGCCAAATATCAGGCCTACTCTTTTGTGTTTTGGTTCTTACAATAGTATGCTGCTTAATCAAGTTCATTTCCATGTCCTGTTGATTTTATTGTTATTCCAGGTAATTGAAAGAAAATAAAATGGATGGGCACCATTAAAAACAGCTCAGAAAGTAAAGGTACAAGATCCCAATGATAAATGTAACTGTACTGCATACTTAAAAAGTACCAATAAACTCAACGAGAAAAAAAAAAACAGCTCAGAAATACATTGTTATCAGTAAAGATTTCTTTTCAAGATGTCTTGGATTGCGCTTTTGTTGAGGAAAGTGTAAATAATGGAAGAATGTTGATAAAATCGAAACACTTGGTTATGGAATTCTGTGGGGTTAGAGGTTTTCTGTTTGTGAAATGCATGTATTAAAAACAGTTTCAGGGGGTCAGGGATTTAGCTCAGTGCTCTGCCATCTGCCTTGCAAGCGCAAGGACCCAACTTTGATCCCCAGTACCAAAACAAAAAGAAAAATGGCTTTGGAAGTAGATCACTACAAAGGCCTTGGGTTTAAACCTGGTACTGGGGAAAAAAAAATCACATCCCAAAACTGTTAAAAAACAAAATTGCCAGCCAG